ATTGACAGTGACTTGAAACATTTTTTTCATGTGTCTATTGGCCATCCCAATGTCATTCTCTGTGAAAAGTCTTTCCATGTCTTTTGTCCATTTTGTAATTTGATTATAAGTATTTTTCTTCTGGAGGCCCTGTAGGATTCTATAAAATTTCATTACGAGGCCCTTGTCTGAGATGGTATTGCCAAATGTTTGTCCCAATACAGTAGGTTTTATTTTATCCTGTTGGAAAAAATCTTTTATGAACACAGAGATTTAATCTTTACAAGGTCCCATTCATCAACTTAATCCTCTTCAGATTATGTATTTCTGGCTGATATTTGGCAGTCCCTTTATATCGTAGACTAGGCCTTCTAAGCTGGGATCACACACTGTTGTCACTGCATTTAAGGAACTTAGAAATCAAAATCAAATCAAACACTGAGGAATGCTGGGTTCAAGTCCATGTAAAAGATGACTGTGATAGACCTGCATGAGACCCAAACTCAGCACTTGTTATCCAGTTAACCCAAAAGTAAAGAATGGAGCTGAGAGAAAGCTGCCATGTCTCTGGCCCAGCTTCTTGAATGACTGAGACAATAAATGAGAGAGTGTTAGAGCCCAGTGACTCCCAAGGAGCCACGGGAGTGAGCACCCTACACTCAGACTGGGCCTTAACTCCTGCTGGACACCTCAGTGACACCTGGATCCTGCAGAAAGTGAAGCTGCCTTGTGCCTTGGACCAGTTCTAGACTGATGGCAGGAGCATGGCAGCAAGCCTCGTCATTGTAAGCTACAGCACAGATACTGGTCAAGAGAGCAGGCTTTGTGACACTTGCTCATTGGTGACCCAGAACAAGATATTGTGCCTCTGTTTTCTGTTCCCCTGTTTTCCCTTCAAAAAAATGTGTCTAGCATTATTCACCATCACAAGAACATAGAAACAGCCCTAATGTCTAACCACATTAGAATGGATTTAGAAATTATGGTATATTCACATGATGGAATACTATGCAGCACACAGGAACAATGATTTGGTAAATTATTGCCTAACCTGAAAGGGCCTGGAGAGCATTACGCTAAGTGAATTAACTCAGTCTCACAAGGACAAATACTATATAAGACCATTATTGTAGAAAACGTGTATGAGGATCCCAGGGGGGAGGAGGGGAGCAGAGAGGTGAAGATGGGCAGGGGATAATCATAGAGTCACATAATTTGATAGGTGGGGAGTGGAGTTTGCACAATTTGGATGGGTGGTGGGTTAAGGAAATGGGACATATCCTGTGCAAAAAACAATGTATGTGAACCTTGTATGTAAACCAGTTAAAATGAAAACTTTTTTATTTTAAAAAAATGTGCCTAAATTGGAAAACTATCTGCAGAAGAATTAAACAAGATCCCCACCTCACTCCATATACAAAAACCAACTCAAGGTGGATCATGGACCTA